CAGAGTGCTAGGAATACAGGTGTGAACTACCATGACCGGCCTCATTTTTTATATTTAAGCTTTAATCCACCTTGATATTTATCTTGATACACAGAATGACATGGGATCTTTTTTTTTTAATCCAAGAGGGTTTCAGTAGTTCCAATACTATTTACTCTTTTCTAAGAGTTTTAAAATAGGCTTTATGGATCAGTTGGCTAATTTTATGAAAAAACACTTACCATGGATTCATACCTCATGCTGTACACTAAAATAAATTACAGATGGGTCTAAGAGTTAAACTAAAACAACAATAATAATAAAGTGGAATTGCTTGGTTATTCTAGCTCTTTGAGGAAGGAGAAGTTTGAACCAACTTTAATAAATAAAATATACTCTACCTCCAGTGTTATTGGGGCTTTGGGCAAGCAGGTGCCCAGTTTTATGTCCATTGACCTAGTAATTCTGATTCGAGGAGAATACCTTAAGGAAATGGTTCAAAAAGAGAGAAAATAAGTAATATGTCTAAAGATAGTTCCAGGTAACTATAATGATTAAAGGCTAAGCACAAAAAATTCCGCAAGATAAGGTACTAAGCAGACTTTATGGTGTTTTGACGTGTCAGTATATTATGACACTATCAAATATTATGACAACTCCGTGTACTCAATTTCCGTGCATTGATAAGCTGTGGTAGAAAAACAGACTCCCAGATAGCTTGCACACACCGCTCTAATATGTAAAAGATTGGTATATGTTTGTTTAAGAGATTAGACTAAAATCTGAAGGAAAGTATTCAAGAAATACTGCATACTTCCCACGTCAGGCTTAGTGCCTGCCTTAAATTACATTCCAGCTGGAGAGAGAGACATTTACACTGAAAATTACAATACGGTTTGGCAAATGCTACCTATAATAATATTAATAAAAGTATGCACAAGGTGATGTGGGAGTCCGGAGAAGCCTAGGGTGGTGGAAGGATTAGGAGAGTGGGAGGAGGAGGTGGACGGTTCAGGGAAAGATTTATAACAGTTTTACCAAAGTATAATTCACATACCATAACATTCACAATTTAAAGTGTACAATTCAGTGGTTTTATATTCACAGAGTTGTACAACCATCACTACAATCGATTTTAGAACATTTTCATCACCCATGAAAGAAACCTTGAACCCTTTAGCAGTTCACCCTCATTTCACCCAACTCCTTGCTCCAACCTAGACCTAGGCAACTGCTAATCTTTCTGTCTCTATGAATTTGTGGATTCTGGACATTTCATATAAATGGAATCATACAATATGTGGTCTTTTGTGACTGTTTTTAAGATTCATCCATATTGTGGCAGGTATCAGTACTTCATTCCTTATTATTGCTGAATAATATTCTATCAAATGGATATATTTACATTTTGTTGATCCATTCATCAATTGATGGGCATTTAGGTTACTTCTACTTTTGGGCTATTATGAATAATGCTACTATGAACAGTTTACAATTTTTTGTGTGGATATATGTTTTCATTTTTCTTGGATATATACCTAAGAGTGGAATTTGCAGGGTCGTATGGTAACTCTGTGTTTAATTGTTTGAGAAACTGACAGACTGATTTCCAAAGTGGCTTCACCATTTTACACTCCTACCAGCAGCATATAAGGGTTCCACTTTCTCTACATCCTAACACTTGTTATTATCTGTCTTTGATTATAGTTGTCCTCATGGGTGTGAAATGATATTTCATTGTTTTTGACTTGCATATCCCTTTCAGCTAATGACGTTGGGCAACTTTTTATGTTCTTATGGGCTATTTGTATGTCTTTGGAGAAATTTGTCTATTCAGAGTCTTTGCCTATATTTTAATTGGGTTATTTATCTTTTTATTACTGAGTTGTAGTGGTTCTTTATTCTAGATACTAGTCCCTTAACAGATTTATGACTTGCAAATATTTTCTTCCATTCTGTGAGTTGCCTTTTCACATTCTCGATGGTATCATTTGAGGACACAAGCCATTAATTTTGATTGATTCCAGTTTATTTTTTCTTTTGTTGCTTGTGCTTTTGGTGTCTTACCTAAGAAACCATTGCTAATCCAAGGTCATGAAGATTTATGTCTGTGTTTTTTTCTAAGTGTTAGCTCTTACATTTAGTTCGGTCTTTGATCCATTTTGAGTTAGTTTTTGTATCTGATATGAAGTTAGGATCCAACTTTATTCTTTTGCATGTGGGCCATGCAGTTATCCCAGCACCATTTGTTGAAAAGACTATGCTTTCCCCATTGGGTCGTTTTGGCATCCTTTTGAAACCCAGTTGATCATACATGTGAAGGTTTACTTCTGGACTCTCAATTCTAGTCCTTTGATCTATATGTTTATCCTTATGTCAGTACCACCCTGTCTTGTTACTGTAGCTTCATAGTACGTTTTGAAATCAGGAAGTGTTAGTCGTCTAACTATGTTCTCTTCCAAGACTGTTTTAGCTATTCTAGGTCTCTTGAGTTTCCATATGAGCTTTAGTATCTGCTGCTCAGTTTCTGTGAAGAAGCCAGCTGGGATTTTGAT